AACACAATAGTATCAACAATAATTAATTCATACTTCTCAAACACCATATTATGTTGCGGCGCCAATAAAATGCGTCAAAATATCGAAACGAAACCACGAAAGAATCAATCAGCGAAATAAAAAAAAACCAATACAATACATCGCTATTATTAAAGATTACACGAGGCACATCAAATAGCACAGCAAAACAATATTCAAATGAACGAATCAAATATTGACTGCACTTCGCTTCAATTCAAAATAACAAACAAATACTGAAAATTGATGTTGAGAAAAAATTTTGATCGGCTGCCTCACAAACATATTGATGCGCTTCTTTATCTTCCGTCTCGACTAAACGATAACGCGAATATTGCAAATAATAAAGTATAACTTCAAACATTCTTAGAAATACTATATAATTCCACAACGACAACAACAACACTCAATAACAAATGACTGATTCGATCTCTGGGATGCATTTATTAGCGTATGGCTGAAGAATAGTAAAACATTCCATCCAGTCGATTAACTCTTCGATGACGGATCGTCGCCATTTCGTTTATTTGAACAGAACTTTTTGAGTTGAACAAATTTATGGGGTTCGTAGTCGGGGTCGTTATGAACTCGTTCCAGAACGGCCTCATCGAATTCATTTTGCGCTGCTCTGCTGAACTCCGCCGGAAGGTTACTAGCCGCTGTTGAAGCCTTTTGTTCCTATTCATTGTGATTCGATTATTAACCGGTTTTGAAGAACACTTTCAACAATAATTCCAACAATACTTCTGAGTAGAATAAACTGGAATCGAAAAAACAAAAACTTTTCGATGAATCGCTGGCAAAAATTCGCTAAACATCGTTGCACTACTTCCTCAAGTAATGTAGTTCTGAAATTTTCATGTTTAAAGGCTCAGATTCAACTCATAAGTTGAAGTGCAGAGCTGAGACCTTCGTCTCTCAAAAAACACTGAAGGCACTGAAAACACAAACCTGTCGCGTCTGTTTCAACGCCCCGTTGAATGCTTCACTGACCGCATGGTGCATAAAATCTTCTCCCGACTCAATACGATTCATCAT